GCAGCGAAGGTTTCGAGGGCAGGCCCTGCACCGCCCAGCGGCAAAGGGCCCCCCCCCCCAGACGACGTGCCAGACGGCCCGACCCAGGCGAGGCGTCGGCCGTCCCAGCGGCCCGACGGCAGCGCACGAGGAGGAGAAGGAGGAGGAGGAGGAGGAGGAAGGTGGAGGAAGGTGGAGGAGGGGGGGGAGGAGGAGGAGGAGGAGGAGGAGGGAGGAGGAGGAGGAGGAGGAGGAGGAGGAGGAGGAGGAGGAGGAGGAGGAGGGAGGAGGAGCAGCAGGAAGGTGGAGCAGGAAGGTGGAGGAAGGTGGAGGAGGGGGAGGAGAAGGAGGGGGCGGAGGAGGTGGAGAGGGAGGAGGCGGAGGAGGAGGAGGAGGAGGAGCGCTGCCCGCGGGAGATCAAAAGCACAAACTCTGTAGCCGCAGCCGTTGTGGTGCACTCGCCGGGTGTTGCCACAGTTGTCCCTGGCCCAAGCTCATGATGATCAGCTCTTCCCTGATCGAGCCCTTCAGTAGGGTGCCGACGGCGCCCGCCAGCGTCTTGCGATTCAGAAAGGTGTGTTTCACACCCACCGCTGGTGGCGCCTCGGCCTCGTACGCGTCAGAGCTGATGCCGAACTCGTGTGGGGACGCATGCATCCCCTGCCCCACCAAGACGTCCTGCGCGACATGCCTGATCTTCTTCGGCTGCGCCATCTGCTCGCGGACCATCGCGCTGGCCTTCAGTCCCATCTTCAAGACGGCGCCCTTGGCCAGCAGATGCTCGCGCTTCATCGCGTCGGACTCCTGCCCTTTACCCCGGACTCCGTGGTCGCGATCCATCGCGTTGGACTCCAGCCCTGCCTTCAGCAGGGCGCCCATGCTCGTCTGCTCGCTGCTCGTTGCGTCGGCTTGCGTCGGCGTCTTCGGGAGGCCGCCCAAGAGGAGGCGGCCGCTGATCGACGAGCTGCCGAGCTCTCTACCTGGAAGCCCCTGCCGCTGACCACCGCCAGCAGCATCCCCTTCGCAGCCTTCGCGCTGGAGATTTTTTTTTCGCGCTTCTGCGAGCTCCATGCCAATGTTTGAGCCCGGTGTTGCGGTAATGCGTACATCGTCCTCAAGCGGGAGCCGCCATCATGCCGGCCGGCATTTTGAAACGGAAAGCGCAATGTTTGGGCAGCCCGTGGATTGAGGAGTAGGAGGAGGAAGGAGCAGGAGGAGGACCAAAGGAGGACCATAGAAGCCCCAGACACATTAACGATGTTGCACTGAAACATCCATCCAAGTTCCCTCACAGGATTCATCTTCAATGGCGGATGTGCCCCGATAGAAAGCAGCCGACTGACAATCCTGAATTGTGCCGGAACGCCGTTCCTGGGACTTCAACGCCGCGAATCAACGATATTGTTGTGTTCTGACGATCTTGAATCGCACCAGAACGCCATTGTTGGAACTTCAACACCGCGAATCAGCGTCGCTGTTGCGCCCTGACACTCTTACACGGTGCCAGAGCACCTTCTTGGGGACGTCAACCATGAGGGATTGTGAAACTGCTGCAACTTCTTAAGACGAATGTGCGCGGCGCTAAGGCGAGAGCCACACTTTGGAAAGGTACCGCCCTCCATCCGCGAAGTTCTTGGGAACGTTTACAACGAATGTGCGCGGCGCTAAAACAAGAACCACACTTTGAAACGGTGCCGGCCTCCACCCGCAACAAATTGTTCAAAAGTTGGCCGCGCCGACTGGGTCTGAGCGTCCGCGTGCGATCACCTCCACAGACATCAGGCGTCTTGATGTTTTCGATGCGGGCCCCCCGGAAGTCCTGACCCTTTGCCCTGGTGCCAGCTTCTCATCCCGCGTGGTTTTATGACAGCGCTGGGGCCTGGCGAGGGCCCCTGGAAGCCGAAAGCGGGGAACAGAAATCCAATGTGATTTTGGTCGAGAAGTCTAATGTCTGGATGTCTGGATCAGGCAGCGCTCGCACGTGGACGAGAAGGGCCTCAAGTGGACGAGCGCCCCTGAGGACAAGCCGCCCCGTTCGCTGTCGTTGGCGCCCCGCGCTGTCTCCCGCCTCCCCCCGTCCCTCTGCACCCTGTTGCCGGGGATCGAGGATCGAGGATCGACCTGGCCTCGCGATGCCCCCCCCGACAGCCAGGGAGCGGGACGGTAAGGGCTTTATCACTATCCCGCCCACTATTTTTTCCTTTTTGGGCTGGTCTTTCTCTTGAGGGATCTATCCGCAGAGGCACCAGAGACACCAGAGGATCGAGGATCAGGAACCTGATCAAGGAGGACCGAGGATCGAGGAGAAGGAGCAGGATCGAGGAGCATCGGGGAGCATCGAGGAGCGAGGTTTCCTAAGCAGCAGGATCGATGAGCATCGAGGATCGAGGTGGATCGAGGAGGATCGAGGAGGATCGAGGATCGAGTTCGAGGGATCGATCGATGAGGAGGAGGAGGAGGAGGAGGAGGAGGAGGAGGAGGAGGAGGAGGAGGAAGAGGAGGACCGAGGAGGACCGAGGAGGACCGAGGAGGGTCGACAAGGACGGCAGCGATCGAGCCTCTCGTCTCTTGGGGAGGGAACGCGTTTGGTCTTCTACTCTCTACGGGGGCTTCCAGGGGCCTCCTGGAGGCCTTGACCGTTCAGTGCCGGCAAAGTCCCCTCCACAAATTCGAGAGGAGGAGGGCAACCCCAAGGTCTCCCCATGAACAGCAGCAAAAATCAACGTCGGTTTGAGCCTCATGCCTCTCGACTCTCGTGCCATCCACACGGCTCGGCTCGGTATAGAATTGGCTCTGCATCGAAGATGCGGAAAGTTCACGAGCACAAACGTTCGGCTCCGCGCGGATCTCTTGCATCGGCGCTGAACCCTCCTCCCTCGCGCGCGGAGACCGCCAGGCCAGTGGTGCCCAACGCCGCTGCGAGGGAAGCCCTGCGGCCCTCCCCATGCTCATGCTCGTGCCGCTTCTGCTCCCTCGTGCGGCAGGAGCCCGAGCGGGCCGGCTCCCTCACGAGCCCACGCGCCTGCCTCGGCTCCTCGGGGGCCGAGCTGCGCGGGTTTGGGACGCTCGTGCGCCGGCGCGAGCGCCGCCGTCCAGAGAGGCCGCGAGGCATCCCGACCTGCCGCCGCAGCTCACGACCCCGAACGCTCCGAGGCGGGGACTTGTCCACAGCCACCGCCGGGAGGATCGCTCTTCGCGGAGACCTTCCGGCAGGCGGTGGACCTGGGCAGGTCTGGGGGGTCCCCTCGGGCCCGAGCACATGCATAGTTGTCCACCGCCCCCCAAGGTCCCAGGACATCGGCTCCCCAGGCTGTTCCCCAGGAGGAAGCCCCAGGAAGGAGGGAGGGGGCGAGAGGGCGTTCTCAAAAATGCAGTCGACCCGCAGAGTCAGGAGGGGCAGCCTTCCCGAGGGTACACCTTGCACCCTTGCCCCTTCGGCCCATCCTCAGCGACTTTCGCTGGCCGCGCCCCGCTCGCAAAGCTTCGGCATGGCCTTCCAAGGCCCTGGCGTCCTTACCGTTGAGTCGGGCATGCCCCTCTACAGGAGGCAAACTACAGTCAAAACATAGTCTGGGGACGACGTTTCGATTCTTTGCCGACTAGTTGTGAGCATGTTTTGTCCGTTATTCGTTGCGAAGGCCTTACGGCCGATGCCGCCGACCCTATAGGCAGCGACGACGAAGACAATGGAGGTAGAGGAGTCCAAGATGCCCTCAGATGGCTCGAAGACGGCGCCAGATGCCTGCAAGGTCGTCCGAAGACAGCTCAAGAGGCCTCCTCCAGGGTTCGGGAACGGCTCCAGAGAGTGCCAATATAGGCAAAGAGCACCCTCAAGTGGCCCGAGAGGGTTCCAATACGGCGTCAAGCGAGGTCCAAAAGCGCTCGCAAAGGCTGTCAAGAGTGCCGCCAGAGGCTGCCAAGAGAGTCTCAAAGTGGCGAAAGGTCTCCAAGGAGCCTTAAGATAGGCTGAAAGGGCCCGCAGACGGCCCCGGACGCAGGAGGATGAGAGGCGGGGGGCTACGTATCCGAGGGGGGACCCCCCCCCGGGAGTTGCCCCGGGACCCCCCCCCCGGCGGGGAAGGAATCAAGGGGAGGGGCTTCCCTTCGACTGAAGGACGACGTTGTTCAGTTTTTGTGTGTGGACTTGTGTAGGGAGCCCCCGGAAAGCAGAAGAGGCGACGACGCGGTGGGGAAGACGGAAAAGTCTCTCCCACACGCCGACAGGGCCAGCGGATTCTGCGTCGAAGCTCCGCTTGTGGGGGGACATGCCCGACCTATAACTTACCAGCCTGGAACAGATCCCTCTCCCTATGCTGGGCACCTCCTCATCACGATGCCAATCTTAGGGATTCCCTTATTTTTTCAGGGCGAATCCCTAAGATTGTCATCGCCTTTTGGCGTGTCGATCTTGGGGATAGGGATACGTTCGAGGCTGGTAAATAACCCTACCGCGCACCCTTACGACACGGCTGCACTGCAGGCGGAGGCGCCGATCCGCCTTCGCGGGGCGTGGGGGCCGGCCCCCGGCCGGCTGGGGTTCGCGGGCCGGCGCCCTCCAGGACCCCTCCTCCCTCTCCTCCCCCTCCCCCTTCCCCTCCTCCCTCTCTTCCCCCTCACCCTTCCCCTCCTCCTCCTCCTCCCCCTCCTCCTCCTCCTCCTCCTCCTCCTCCTCCTCCTGCTGCTCCTGTCTCCTGTCGGGTATAGCCAGGACCCCGGGTAAAGGGACCCGGTTAGTGGTAGGGCCCTGGGGCCCCTCAATTGGCCAGATTGACGAAACCAGGTTTGCTGCAACTGGTGTTTTTCGGGTGGCGGCAGTTTCGGTGAGTGGAAATGGGACGGGGGGGCGCCCCCGGTACAAATCACTGAACCAGGTTCCACTAAACCCAGTTCTGCCAACGCCCGATTCTGATCCAGTGTTTTGCCGATCGGCGCGGGCCCCCTCACCCCCCATCCCAGGGCTCATTTCGATTTCTCCGATTCGATTCGATTCGATGACCATGGGCCCCGATCCGGATTCGATTCGACTCTTCGGGTTCCTTTTTGGGATCCGATTTCTCAATGGAGTCCTACTAGCTTGCTGATGTCTGCCGATTCGACTTTTCCCGACTCGGCTGCCGACCTCCGTCGATCCGATTCATGTCGACTTCCGATCCGACTTGTCGATTCGACTGGCAGGAGGACAGGCGGCGGGCCGCTCTCTCGCGATAGCGTGGGGCGCCCTCGTGACGAGTGCGTGTGGGGAGGAAGCTGCTCAGGCGGGTGGTCGCATGGGCGGGGTCTTGGCTGCTTTGGCCCTCTCCCCCCCCCGCTCTCCCCCCTCTTTCTCGAGATCCCGCAAAGGGTCTGTGTGCCCCGGTGTGTGTGTGTGAGAGAGAGAGAGAGAGTTCGATTGCTTTTTGCACCGAGCCGCCCAGAACAGATGCCCTCCAGCCGCTGGCAGCTCCCGATAGTTGCCGATGGGTGGTGCTTCCGGGGGGCATCTGTTTGCGGCAGTTCGGTGCACCAGCGGATCGAGCTCATGCCCCCCCTCAGGGTCACCCTCCCCTTTGGTGGATCCCGACTTCCCCATCATCCATCACCGCCTCTTCCCCCTCTTTCCCCTTCTCCCTCTCCTCCCGCCTCTCTCGCTCTAGGAGGAGGAGGAGGAGGAGGAGGAGGAGGAGGAGGAGGAGGAGGGGGAGGAGGAGGAGGAGGAGGAGGGCGAGGAGGAGGAGGAGAGGAGGAGGAGGAGGAGGAGGAGGAGGAGGGGGAGGAGGAGGAGGAGGAGGAGGGCGAGGAGGGAGGAGGAGGAGGAGGAGGAGGAGGGGGACTCTGGCCTGGGCCCCTCCCGGGCCAGCGCCCCGTGGGAGCGCCTGGCGGCCCCTGCCCCGTGGCCCACGCCTGGGCCGCCGCGGGGGCTGCCCCGGCGCGGCGCCGTCCACTCCCAGGGTGGAGTCGTGCCTGCCCCTTTTGCGGGAGGAACGTTCCCAAATAGTGAAAACATGTTCTGGGGACGATGTTGGGAATGTGTGTGTATATATATATATATATATATATAGATATACAGCCGAACCAAGGTATAAGATCGAGGTCGGTTCGGGGAGGGTGCCCTAGTGTTCTTCGTGCTTGTTGGATGCTCTCGTGCATCCTGGGGAGGGCACCCTTGGATGTTCTGTGTGGTTGGGCTGGCGGAGGGTCTCAAGTTCTTGAGGGATGTTCTTCTGTCCTAGGTCCGACCGTATATATATATATATATATATAGACAAATACACTGGGCCCCCTCCCGGGGCGTCCTCCACCTCGATGGCAGTTTCTTTCAGCTCCCGGTACCGCGCCCCCGGCCTCCCACATGGGCTCGGAATCGCCTCAGAAGAGCCGCTGGCGCCCACGAGCAGCCGTCAGGTTGTGAAACCACGCTCGAAAAGCCTACACCACGCTCGAAGAAGCTTCCAACAGGCGTCCGAAAAGCGTTTGGGGAAAGCTTCCAGAGCGCAGAATCATTGATTTACCGTAGGTTTTTCAATGTGTTCCGCTTCCTCGCGTTTTGAAGAATCCGACGCTCGAAGATTTCGAACGAGCCTCCAAGACCTCTTGGGGATCGCCTAAGAGATACCCTCCCGGGTCTCTTAGGCAGGCTCCAAGAGGCCCCAGCATGAGCCAAGACGCCCAAGACAGCCTTATGGCGCCTCTCCAGGTTCCCAGGCTCGCCGGAGAACTTACGAGTACGCCTCCAAGATGTCCCAGGAGAGCTCCCAGAAGCGGCCATAACACGCACCACAAGGCCGGAATCGTAGATTGCACCTTGGTTTTGCAAGGTTCTCGTGTTTCCGCGTTTTCGAGCTTACAACAGTCCAAGACAGTCGCTGAAGCTCCCAAGACCGCCCCGAGATGGCCCAAGATGGCCGCCGCTGGCTTCCCAGGCAGGCTCCGAAACGTCCTACGACGGCCTAAGACGCCCTAGACAATCTCCCGACGGCTTTCCAGGCTCTCAGGGTCGCCGACGAATGTCTCGAACAGGCCTCCAAGATGCCCCAGGAGGCTCCGAGCTGCCTCTGGCGAGGGCTCGAAGAGAGCAAAACCGTTGTTGTTTTTGTTTGCTATTTTACATTGTTTCGTCTCAAAAGATTTCGTCCTCTCGCGTTTTCAAGATTCCCACGCCCCAAGGCAGCCGAAAGATGCCCCCATACCGCCTCGAGATGCACAAAGAGGCCCCCCAGCGACTCCCACGAGGCCCCCAGCGCCACCTCAAGACTGCCGAAGAGACGCCCAAGAGCCCCCAAGGCGACCGGAGAGATGCTCCAGACCGCCCAGAGGTCTCCGAAGATAGGGGAACAACAAGTGGCATAAACATACAAAATTTGAGTTCCGCGCGGATTTCTCGGATCGGCGCTGGACCCCCCTCCCTGGCGCGCGGAGCGCGCCATTGGCGGCGCTGGAGGCGCCGCCGGGGGGCCCCAGCGCCGATCCAAGAAATCCGTGCGGACCTCCGAGTTGATATGTTTATGTCACTCTGTTCCCCTAGAAGACGGCCTCAAGCCGCCCCAAGAGGTCCGGAAGGGGCTCCAGGACGGCTCAGTTGTGTCACCAGGTGCCCTCTGAGCCTTCTTGGATGCCCTCTCTTGGAGCTCCCCAGGGCCCCCGGGGAGCACGCACGGGCTCTCCGAGACGGCTTCAGGAGGGCCCTGGGAGGTCTCCACGAGGGCCACTGGAGGGGGAAAAATGGTAAACAGCCAGCTGTTTACCATTTTCTCAGTTTGGACCCCCGGGGAGCACCCACGGGCTCTCTCCGAGATGGCTTCAAGAGGGCCTTTGGGAGGTCTCCACGAGGGCCACCGGAAGGGGAAAACTGGTAAACCGCCAGCCGTTTACCATTTTCTCAGTTTGGACGCCCAGGGGCTCCCCGCGATGGCTTCAAGAGGGCCTCGGGAGGTCTCCACGAGGGCCACTGGAAGGGAAAAATGGTAAACAGCCAGCTGTTTGCCATTTTGTTGGTTTGGGTGCCCTCTTGAAGCCCTCTTGGAGGCTCTCTTGCCCTCCTGAACGCCCGGGGAGCACCCAGAGGCTCTCCGAGATGGCTTCAACAGGGCCCCGGGAGGTCTCCACGAGGGCGCCATTGGAAAGGGAAAATGGCAAACAACCAGCTGTTTACCATTTTTTTGTTTTGGGTGCCCTCTAGAAGCCCTCTTGGAGGCTTTCTTGGAGCCCTCCTGAACGCCCGGGGAGCACCCAGAGGCTCTCCGAGATGGCTTCAACAGGGCCCCGGGAGGTTTCCACGAGGGCGCCATTGGAAAGGGAAAATGGTAAACAACCAGCTGTTTGTCATTTTGTTGGTTTCGGTTGCCTCTCGGCGCCTCTTGGAGGCCCTCTTGGAGCCCTCCAGAACGCCTGGGGAGCACCCAGGGGTTTCTCCAGAAGTCTCCGAAGAAGGCCACAGACTGCCCCAAGAGGTCCGGAAGGGGCTCCAGGACGGCTCAGCTTTATCACAGGAGAGCTCCGAAAAGCCTCCCGAGAGCGCCCGGAGAACCCAAAATCGTTAATTCGTTTCGTTTTTGTTACAGGGGTTTGGGCTTTCTCACCATTTCATGCTTCCAACGCTCCAAGACGGCCGAAGAGGCCCCCCAAGACCGCCCCAAGACCGCCCAAGAGGCCCCCAAGACGGCCCCAAGACGGGCCAAGACGGTCCCAAGACTGCCGAAGATGCGCTTCGGACAGCTCCAGACCACCCAAGAACAGGCCCCAGATGAGCCCAAGAGCGGGAGTAGGAGGCCGCCAGAGACCTCCAAGAGGACTCCAGGACCCCCCAGAGGCCTCCAACTCACCCAGACCCCTGAGAGGCTCCCCAAAAAATCCCCGACGAGGCCCTCAAAACAGCCCAAGAGAGATTCGAGAGCCATCCCGTGAGAGCCCGAAGAGGGTAAAATCGTTGCTTTCCAGTGGTTTTTGTCGACGTTTTTCGCCTTCTCACGTTTTCCCGCTTCCAACGCTCCAAGTCCGAGGAAATTGAAAAAACAATGGAATTCCAGAGATACTTGTTTTTCAAGTTGGGACTCCTAATTCCTATCCTCTTCCTCGATTCCCATCAAGACTTCGGGGTCACATGGAAAAATGTTTCGGGAATGCTGTTGAACTCTCTGACGCTGTCTTGGCACTCTCTTGGATCGTCTTCGTGCCCTATTGGCTGCCCCTGAAACCATTGTAGAAATCGAGGTCCCATGATCCCATGAGTTGAGGCAGTGGAATGTTCGACTTCCTTTTTTTCAAACTCACCCCCTGCTTATTTTTGCACGAAGACCCCGCGAGGCAGCCCAACATACCGTGGTCTGCATGCAGAAAACGTCCAACCCACAGGCACTACAACTTGAAAAAAATTAGACATCCCACCATTCCGTTTTTTTCCAAGTTCGCCCCCCTGTCTATTCTTGCGCAACAGACGACAAATAAGGCCCCAGGAAAGAACCCAGGAAGCAGTCGAGGGGCAAATCGTTAAATACCTAACGGCAACTAATGATTGTTGCGTTTCCGCATGTCCTTTTCTATACGATTCCGAGGCTTGCGCATGGCCTCTAAGAGAGTCCCTGGACGCAGGAAACGACAAGGTTGAGATTCCATGCGTTCGCCCATAAAGCCTAGCTAGAACTTGAGCGCGCGCGAAGCGCGCGCGATGGTTCTAGTGTATGTATGTATCTATGTACATATATATATATAGTCATATATGTGTGTGTATCCTTGTTTGAAGTCATTTTGAGTTTTCGTCCAAAATCCCCCTGTAGAGGGACATGCCCGGCCTAATCCCGGGGCTCCGAGGCGCGCACGCCGAAGCGCGCTGAGAGCCGCGGGCTCCCTGCAGCTCGGGCGCGCAGAGGGGTCGTGCCCCGCCCTCCGCTCGCCACGCCGGGCTCAGTGCTTTTCGGTCCAGTCGGGCCCCCTTGGGACCGCGCCGGGCTCAAGTCGGGCGTGTCCCTCTACAGGAGGAGTACGCAACAGCAGTCAACACATAGTGTGGGGACGCTTCGTGTTTGAGTATCTGTTCGTCTGTGTATTCTTTTCTTTGGCCCAAGATCCGCCTGCAGGGGGACATGCCCGACCTCACGCCAGGCGGGAGGATTTTGCCCACCTCCGCTTGTGAAGCGGCGCCTCCCGCCAGTGCGAGCATGTTCCAGGCGGTGCTGGTACCCGCTGAGCCCTGGCACCCGTGTCCGAACTGCTGCGATTTCTTTCTCTCGCTCGCTCGCTCTCTCTCTCTCTCTCCCTCTCTTTCTCTCTGTTGTCTTTCTAATTATTTCTCTCCCTCTCTCTCTCACATTCTTTCCCTCCCCCTTCTGCACCCCCACATCACCCCTTCTTCCCCACCCTCCTCGCAGCCTCCCTCTATCACCTCCGCTCCCTTCCCCCTTTACGCCTTCCGTTCATCCATTCTCCCCCCCGTCTGCCGTCCTGATCTCCACAGACCTTTGGCGTGTTAAGCTTACTCACGACGTGGACGCCTGGAGGTCTGGAGAACCTCCCCTGGGCCAGACTTCCGCCCCGAGCAGTCCGGAGAGTGTCCCGGGGCCGGGCAGGGGCACCCCACGGAGCGAGACGGGGAAAGCACCTCCCGTCAGTGGCTGTTCACGGCGAGAGGAGGCGAGGGAGACGCCCCTGCCCCCCCCGATCTCCCGCCCCCTCCCCCCCCCCCTTTCGCTTTCCCCCGCCGCAGGGGACGACGTCAACTCTGGAACCCCTCCCTGCTCCGCGGCCGCGGCCTGAGGATTCGGGCGGCGCGGATGCATCCACACTGTTCATTTCTAATCCTTCGAGGGTTCTTTGATTTTTTTGGGGGGGCCAAGATCCTTTCATTTCTAATTCTTCTGTCCTGGGCCTCTTCCTGGCCACTAGGGGGCCAGGAACAATTAGAAACGAGCACAATCAGAGATGAGCACGATTAGAAATGAACGACGTGTCCCCCACATCTGAACCGAGTGCGGAGATGGAGCAGGGATCAGGGGTCGACCTGAGCGGTGTTTCGGAGATCTCGTGGGCCGTCTTCGTTCGGGCTGCGTTTTCTGCAGCAGAGGCGGATGGACGACGAGACGCGGGAAAGCAAGAGCAACATGAAAACGAAAAACACTGTCTAAGGCGATCCCTGGGATCACCACCTCCCTTGTCCCCCTCGCGACCCGGACCCGCCCTGCCGCCACCCCTCCCCCCTCGCAGGAGTCGCAGGACGAGGCGCTGAGAAGAGAGGCGGAGCACCACGAGGCAGGCCGGAGGGCCATGGCGGAGGCCGAGCGGAAGGCCAAGGAGGAGGCCGAGCTCAAGGCCAGGGAGGATCGAAGCAGGGCAAACTGCCTAAGCACAGGGCGTCGGAGCGCCGCGCGGATTTCTCGAATCTGCGCTGGTCCCTCTCGGCGTCGCCCTTGGCGCCGTCCCCGGCGCGCTCCGCGCGCCATGGAAGCGTCAGCGGCACTGCTGTATCCCAGTGTAGTAAGGGTGTTGCGAGAGTCAGTTGGGACACGAGCTTGCGCCCGCTGACGTGTTATATCAAATGTTTCCCAGACCTCCCCCTGAGTCATACAAGCTACGAGCGGCTTTTGTCGAGCCATCGCAGTTCATATTATCTTCTTCTTCGTGAGAGAGGGCTTCGACACTTCCAGAGTGTGCGGCTGGCGTTGGCAGCTGAGCCGGCTGGCTCCAGATCCACGGCGAAAAGGATCGAACGCATAGCTTTGGGTGTTCTTTGAGAGATGCGCCGTGGCGGCCAACCACGCTGCAAGTGCAAAGGCAAAATTGCGGACAGCCTCCATAACCTCAAGGACCTCCGGGCGATCCGGCCGGCGGAGACGACAGAGACGCGGCTGCGGAAGCGGCTGCGGAGGTGACGAGGACAGCAATCGGAGAAGATGACAGCGACCTAGCTGAACCAAAGGAGCGAAACCAGTGAAACGGTGGATGGCGTGAACGGAATCCTCAGACGGCCGCTGGTCTCGCGAGGTGCTGTCCGAAGGCCAAAGACTTGAGGTACGACACGTACCGGAGCTCCAGACGGAGGGCTACGGTGTTCAGAGGCTGTGTGCAAGGCGTGGTGCCCAAGCCGCGATTGAAGGAGCCGACCTCCTGCAGAGTTTGCTGGGGGACGCTTGGGACGCATGCGAAAGCATACTTGTCGAAATGATGGATTTGGTGGAAGCCGTCGACGAGGTATTCGGCAAGTTGGACGTGCTGTACAAATGCACCCCGGAGGTTGAGTTGCCGAGCAGATGTGATGCGTTTACGGGAGAGTTCAGCCGGCAACCCAAGGAAACACTCAACGCGGACATGCTGCGACACGGACAGGAATTTCGAAACTTACGACAGGCTGGACTGGATCTACCTACCAAACCTCCTGGTAGGTCGGCGCTCGATGACGAGAACAGGCGTGCCGCAATGGCAAAAGGCCAAACCTTAGGGCAATGTGCAACCACAAGCTAAGCGTGCACGTCGTGACCGACGCTCTCAAGACGACGCTCGGCGGTGACAGCCCGGCACGCAAGAAAAAACAGCGAGCATGTGAATAATAATGCCACACATACAAGAAGCATAACGAGCACGGGCACTGGACTGAAGACATCGAGTTCGGGAGCGTCAGCGTCTTCCACGGGCGCAAAGACGAGTGCGACCCGCATGATGACTACGGAGAAGCCTACTGCGGAGACAGCGCCGACAGTTGCAATGACGATGAGGGAATTCCCGAGGAGGTCGAGCAGTTCCACAAGACGGCGGGCGAAACGCTTGCCAATTACGCGGGCGCGAGAGCGAAAGTGAGAGAGATGGCGACGGCGAGAAGTTCCTACCCGATTGCGGCCTTCATTGACGAGCGCCGGCCGCCAAGAGTCAGCAACGCAGGAGGAACGCGCAGAGGAAAAAACCTTGTGGAGCCACGTGGGGGCCCGAGCATGCCGCGCGGAGGTGGAAGAGGCGCGCTAAGGGGGGCATTTTCAAAGAATACTCCCAAGACTTCCAGATCAGGAGCCACCCAGGACCACGGACCGAGGTTCGAGAGACGACGCGACGCGACGGACGGCGCACAGAGGACGCAATGACGGCGCGAGATACGTTAGAATAACCGAACCTGGCTACGAGAAAGGGGCGTGCGACAGTGGAGCGGCGAATCCATTCGCGGGCATGGGCGAATGGCCAGCGTGGAGGGGGAACCGTCACATCCGTGGGCCCGGCCAAGAATATCACTACTGAGGGATGTCCCAAGACGTTTAGGTTGGGCAACTACGAGATGTCGACGGCCAAGCAGACGGCGAAGATCCCGGCGCGGGCGCCCAAGCAGAAGCGACAGATATCAGTGCGCCTGGTGCCGGGGGCGGTTTCCCCGCTGGTTACGAGGCCCTGCTTGGCGGAGCGGGGCGCGGTGATCGCCGTTGCAAAAAGGGAGCGGCGCATCCAGTCGAAGGCCCGCCAGAATGACCAGACATCGATTCGAACGAGAGAGACCACGCGGTGCTCGACCAGTGAGTTGCCCAGAAGCGATGGCGGCGAACGACGACTCAAGCTCGACAGATGCCGACAATGACGGTGGTCACCAGATATACATCGGCAGTGGGAACTGACTTCCACGTGGCGAGCAGCTGCGGCGAGGAGAAGGATAACCTAGAGATACAGGGTCTCGAGGCTAAGCAGCTGAGGGCGCGGCTCAGGCGAGCCGCGTCCTCGACGGATCCCGAAATCAAGCGGGACATCTGGGGCAGTTCTGCGGCGGCAGGCCGCGTGTCTCAGCGCGCGCAGGGGCGGGGCGATTTCGAGGCAGAGAATCTCGCTCCTGGCGACGGGCTGGAATTTCAGGCAGACGGCTCACCAGACCGCCTTCAGCTACACTGCCGAAGCGGGAAGAGCCCGATGGGGGCGTCGATGGCACCGCCGTGCCCGCTGCGGTCCGCGAACAACGCGTCGAGCGAGGCTAACGAGGGCGCCCGCTACAGGCGGCGGCGCAGGCGTGGGCGCGGCAAGCAGAAGGAGGAGCTCCTGCTGTTCAGCGGCGACATCTACGAGATCTAGCAGTCATCCGAGCGGCGCGCCCACATGGCGCCCGGGGTGCGCTACTTCGGGGAAGACCGGCGAGTGGGCAGGCGCGCAGGGCTACGACGCGTTTGGTTACCAGTGCGCGCGCGGATGTCAGGATGTTAAGGCCGATCAGGAGGCCAACGGATGTGTGAATTACCAAGTGGCGCAAACGCGCACTCCGCAGGCGACGCTGCTGCGCGGCGCAGCGACGCGCGCTGGAAGGGGCTCGCAGAAAGAGAGTCGCGGAGAACTGCCCCCGCAAAGGTGACGCCAGAGGCAGCGGCGCGCATCTCAGAGGACCCGCAGGACGAGTCAAGCTGCGCAGTCGATGATGTCGCAGGAGGACCTCGATTGGACCGAGTACCGGATGATATGGGTGGCCCTGCTCAAGAAATAGACATTTGAAAAAGTGGAGTAGCCCGAGAAGGTGCATGTCCAGATGGGGCGCCCATCGAGCGAGGCGCCGGCTGCCGCGCCCGAGGAGATGCGCGCCGAGGAACGCATTATCCGCCGCGCGGGAATCCACGCGCGCAAGACTTGCCCGGGAAGACCGACGCCGAAGGCAGCGGGGGTCGCCCGCGCCCCGAGGGAGAGGCTTCAACGACGCGATCGACGTCGACGCCTTCCGCGCGCCGCGGCAAGACAAGCGCAATGTGATATTTGCCATCATGGGCGAGAGCGCGAGATGCGAGGTGGGCGCGGCGGTGGGCGACGAAAGGGCCAGTGCCGTGATCCCAGCGATTGAGCAGCGCTGGGCTCCGCGCGCCGCATCGCCGGCTACGACGCGCTCAAATCAGAGTGGAGCTCGCGCGAGTAGGACTTCGGCGATCGGCGCGAGAGCCAGCGCGCCAACTTGCAGAGCATGCCCGGGCGCGCGCCCTGAGCTCGGCATCTTAGAGAGACGCCATCGTGTGCGACGCGAGCACACTTGCTACAAATCACGCGGAGACAGGCTGAAGATGGCGGCGCGCGCGGCGCGGGGCATGAGGAACAGGCTGCGCGGTGCAAGTGGCCTCGCGCCAGCTCGGCGAGCGACGGGGCGGCGGCCCCGCGATCCGGGCGGCCCAGCGGACGGGCCGACCACGACGGGCAGCTCGGGCGTGCGCGACGGGGAAATCCATGAGAATCCAGAGCGCAGGAGGGGCGCTGGCAGGGCGCTTCGGGCGGCCCAGGGTCGGGCGCAGTGCGAGCGGCGCCGGCGGCGAGGGGCCAGCCCCTCCTCCTCGAGTTCCTGGTCGGCGCGCCCTTGGGCGCGCGATAGTCGACTGCGCGTCATTATGGTCCCAGGCCGGAGTGGCCGCTGTTGCGCGGCTTCGCGGGGGCCCGACGCGACCGCGCACGCCCGCGCTGCCGCGCCGCGCCCAAATTCGGCGGGGCGCCGCCGGACAAGTGCTTTGCGCCAGCGGGCCGTCGCGGAATTCCGCCATTTGGGTTCGAGCGCCGCGATCGGCATTTCGAAGGCACTGCGAGAGCAGACGCTGCCCGAAGCCACCGCGACGAAGAGGTCTGGCACTGCCAGGCCGCGTCGCGACGACGTCTGGCCAGGTCCGGCGCCGCTTCGCAAACGGGCACCCTTCCGCGGGCCCGGACTGAAACTGTAGATCATTTGCGACGGTAGAGATCCCCGCTGGCTCAAAACACATGAGAATTCCAAACGGTTTCAAATGCATGCAGGGATATTCAAAAATATTCAAACATATTTAAACCAGACGGTTCTTGGATTTGGGCTGGGATCTGGGGCTGACCCCAGGGCGGAAAACGCGCCGTCGCGCGCTGCCTGGTCGACCGGCCCCCCTGGGGGAACCAGCGCGCACTGCAGGGTACGCCGCGTCTGCGTTGCTGTCGGTTGAGAGGGGCGGGCGCCCAAACCTGGCGCGCTCAGATGCGAGCGCAATCGCGCCGTGCGGATGCCGGCGCGAGGTCAAGCTCACTCCAAATGAAAAAACACCCGACCCCGCCGTGGCCAGCAACAGAGGTCTTTCTAGCGAACAGCCACTCGCACGTGTAGTCGAGAGAAGGGCGAGAGCGACCTCCACGAGAGGCTCTGGCGTGGGCCCGCCACTGCAACTCCCAGGCCGAGCGCGCCGACGACCCGGAAAAGCTTGGGCAATCAGCGATGCCGCGCGCGGGTGGGAACGCACTGCTTAGGGCGACGCGCGACGAGCTGCCGGCGGCAGAGAGCGCGCCCGAGAAGGTGAAAATCATTGGCGGATCGTTCGAGTGCATGGACTGCGTGGTCGAGCCGATGGGCCGACCAGGGGACTGCGAGAGCGACCGCGCCCCCCGTGGCATCGACGCGGGCCCCGGGGGAGTCGGCGCCGAAGGCGAGGTGGAGGATCCGGAAAGCGACGAGATGGGCGACGCGGGCGACCGCGGCGGCAACGCGGAGGCGAGGACCGAAGAGGCGGAAGTGCAACACGAGCGCGACGCGCCATGAGTCGAGGGGCATGGGGCGCGCGCGCCATCAGAGGCTGAGACGGCGCATCAGGCGCAAGCGGAACCGCCAGAGGCAGACGGCCAGGCAGTTGCCCCAACAGGCGCGGAGACCACCGGGCAGCGGGAGACGCCGCGCTGGAGATCAGCGCAATGCGGAGGAGTCGCGAGATGAGCTGCTGGAGAGCATCAACGCGGCCAGAAGGTTGCACTGACTGCGACCGTTTGCCCAGGGGCCGGTGTCCACGCCTCTGGAGGCGCCGACGAACGCAGGCGACAGAGGCAGTGACGAGTTGCTGCTGCTCTACGATGGTGAGGAGATTGACCTGGCGAGGGCGGCGAAGAGTGGCGCAATCGCGGAGGCCAGGTTGACAAACGACGAAAAAAGGCAATTCGACGAGGTGCAGACGAAGGCATTCGTGCTCTGGATGGAAAGTCAAGCTCAGCAAACTGTCAAGGAGGAGTCAGCGGATGCAGGAGAGGAGTGGAACGTCAAGGACGGCTTTGGAGAGGCAAGCGCGAGGGCGAACATACTAAGATGCCACCTGGGCGAGGCGGCGAGCGCGGAGGTCGAAGTCGAGCCCGACGCTGACGAGGATGACGGGATATCTCATCCTGCCCATCTTGCGCCAGCAGTGTTGGAAGATGGCCGCGACGGACGTCCGGGGGCCCCCCCGCCCCCCCCCCCCCCCCCCCCCCCCCCCCCCCCCCCCCCCCCCCCAGTCCAAAATCATTCGCGAAGGGGCCGCGCAGCGCAGCAGGCTTGCGCAAGACATGCGGCGACGCCTGGCCAAGGTGATGGGGGCGCAGGACGGCGGCGCCCCCCAGGTGATGGAGCCCGCGTTTGGCGACGCGCTGGCGCCGAGGCAGTGGGATCAAATGATAAGCGAGGCCGCGGTCGAGAGAGCTGTTCGCGCGCGCATGCTGGAGAAGTGCTGATTCCTGAGTCGCATTGCGATGATGGGTGGCGACCCGTTCCCAGTCGCGGGGGCGGGCGACGGCGGCCGCCGCGCGCTGGGCGGCGAGCGAGGCTTGCGCGCGGGCGGCTCCATCGGCGGCGGCGAGGGCCCCGAGCGCGAGAGCGACTTGATTGACATGCGCAGCTACGGCGGCACGTCCCCGGCCAGAGTGCCGAGGCGCAACCGTCGGTTCTGGTTCGGCAAGTGGAAGCTCTTGAACAATATCCTATTCTGCGGCATGGAGAGCACCCAGACGAACTCCAGGAACGAGGCAGTCAAGGCGGAGGCCGCGCACACAAGGCTAAGTCGATGAGCGTCGAGAAGGAGCGCCGCGCGCTGCCCAGCGATCTTCTCACCACAGGAGATCAGCCAGCGATTTGCGTGGACTACACGGCGCAGCAGCTATGCACTGGCCGGCATCGCAGCGAATGGCGCAGGCGGCGGCAACGGTCCCATCTTCTCAAGGCGACGAGAGCGAGGCGACCGCGGGCAGTTTGCTAAAAGCCAACGTGGCGCTGCCATTACTGATGGCGATTGGCGACGCTGGCATGCGCATGCAATGCGCGCCCAAGTGGGAGATGCTACGTTTGGGCGCTGACTGGGGCGCGTCGCGGGCTATGAAACCAAATGGAGAGCCCGGGGGGCTGTGTCGCATTCTCAACCGAGTGCGACCTCACCGACGACGGGAAAGCGATGTACGAAGTGATCCTAGAGTGGACAAGCAAGAAGCTCGCGCGGATCTGCGGAGGCTGCCTGGTAGGCGAAGTTCAACCAGCGGCGAACGCAATGGGCGCGCTGGAGTTCGCCAAGACGATGGAAACTACGAAACGACCCCCCCCCTCTTTCAGGGCGTGGGTCGGAGATATCGCAGGTGCTTGCAAAGGGCCCTTGCGTCACGAACTGCGAGGCGCTGTGCGGCGCAGCCAACTTACGGGTTGCACTGGGACGACTTAGCGAGTGCAGGACCAGGGTCGAGATCGTGCAGGTGAATGAGAAGATGCAGGGGTCCAAACGAACGAACCGCTGGACATACAGTTTCCAGCAAATGGCGGATGAACCCATCAAGTTGCAAGTGAGGCAGCAGCCCGTGGAGAAGCAGAGGAGGAAGACACGCGCGCCGATGCGCCACTGGAAGTTTACTTCAGGCAATAAGGGCAGCCAGTCCGATCGAGCTAAGGCAGGGCGCGCGTTTAACAAGGCGGCCGCAGACTGCGACGAGGCGAAATTAATCGAGGCTGACGCATACGAGAATGCAATTTGGTGCGTGCTACGTGCAGCGGTACCAGGACAGCCGAGAGGCTGGCGAACGCCATGGCTGTGGTGGCGGCTGCTAAAGGCGCGAACGGGCAGGGAATGACGTTCCCGGCGACTCCAGGTTTCTCTTGGCTTGCGGCGTTGCTGCGAATCATTATGGTGGTCATGGTGGCAGGGTGCTGGACGAGATGCACTCTGGAGAAGAAGTGCATGCAAAAGGTAGACGACCACCGGTGGAGAGCGAGAGATTGCATCAACCACCGAAGACTTCAGGCCCAAGGAGGGACCACGTGGCCTGGGCGGCCGAGGGGACGACGACGCCGACGTCCTCACTACACTGAGGTTCGAGTACTTGTGCGATCGTTCGCGAACTGCGACGATTACCAAAGAGTTCAAGAGTGCTGACACGCGAGGCCATGTTAAGGGCGAGACCAGATTCGAACCAGGAGGCTCGCAGGCATGCTGCTGCGTTTGTGTTGGTTGCGTGTTACGTTGCCTTCACGACAGTATGGCGACACGCATTCCATTTTCTTCCTGAGATAGATTTGATGCTTCAGGGTTTGCGTTCCATGTTCCCCTCACACGCTTCGTGGCGCCATAGGGAGCGCCACCGAAGGCCGCAGCGGCATGGTTCGCATGCGGTTCCACTCCCACTTCGGCACACCCGTCACACGTTTCCTAGCCCCATAGGGAGTTCCGCCGAAGGCCCCAGTGACAGGGGTCGCATGCGGTTCCATCTCCATGTCGGCACCCCCCTCACACGTTTCGTGGCCCCATGGGAAGCTCCACCTCAGGCCCCAGTGTGGCAGGGTTCGCATGCGGTTCCACCCCTAATTTCGACACACCCCTCACACGTTTCGTGGTCCCATAGGGAGCTCCACGGAAGGCCCCAGTGGCAGTGGCAGGGTTCGCATGCGGTTCCACCCCACATCACTCACACGTTTCGTGGCCCCATTGGGAGCTCTACCGAAGACGATATTCGCATTTGCGGCACTCACAACTGCATACAGCTGGGTCTTTCGCCAGGCTAATGTTTTTCAGGCTTGTGCTTCATGTTTCAGATTGCTCTGAGACTGCCGTGATATATCCGGTGATCATGGACAGAAGGGGCCGGCTTGTGTTTTCCTTTTTCCTTCTGCGTCAACGGCGCAGTGTTGTTCCAATGTAGTGAGAGTGTTGCGACAGACAGTTGCGAGACGAGCGTCAGCCCGTCGCTGTTGTGTATGAGAGGGAACCGAGGCCCCCCTGAGTCATACAAATTGCGAGTGTTTTTTTATCGATCGATCGCATTTCATATTGTATGGTCTCTTGCTCTTTACTTCGTGTGACAAATAGACTTCGACACTTCCAGGCTGTGCTGCCGACGTGAGGGAGGTCCAACGCAGATCCGAGGAATTCGCGCCGACTTCCAGAAGTTTATGTTTCTGGCGCGTACTGTTCCTGTATAGGACGCCGAGCGGAAGGCGAGAGAGGAGGCCGATCGCAAGGCCGCGGAGGAGGCCGAGCTCGAGGCCGCGGAGGAGGCGAAGCGAAAGGCCAGGGAGGAGGCCGAGCTCAAGGCCAGGGAGGAGGCCGAGCAGAAGGCGAGGGAGGATGCCGAGCAGAAGGCCAGGGAGGAGGAAGAGCGGCAGGCCGCGGAGGAGGCTGCCCAGGAGGCAGCGGAGGACCGCGGGGCAGAATTCTCAGGGTGCATCCGCCGTCGTGCGGTGGTCTATGATCCCCACGGTCCCCCCAACCAGGACACTGTTGAGCAGGACTTTGACAATGTGACAATCCCCCCTGGAGAGAACGAACAATAGAGAGTGCTTGGACGTGCTGCTGCAGTTTTCTCGGGTGCGCCAATGCTCTGGTTTGTCAAAGTCCTCGTTTAGGTGGCCCTGGGATCCCCAGACCAGCCCTGGACAAGTGCACAGATCTAAGAAGACAATTGCTCCGTGAGATGTTCGCATGCGGCACGCCCGTTTCCCTCTTTTTAGGCCACGTTTTGTTGCATGGGTTTCCCTATCGCAGGTTGGCTTGCGTCGGGATCTTTGTTTGCCTGGCGATGTGTTGATTCGCACAGTGGTTGATGCTAAACCATGTGGAGCGTTGTGGTCGCGCTCCATCCAGGACAACTATTACTCACGAGGGTTTTGAAGATGCATTTCGGATAAAACGAAGAACGGGTAATCCTTCGACCCACGGCTGCGGTTTTCTCGGACGCGCCAACATCCTGGTTGGTCAAAGTACCCGATTTGGGGGCCCCAAGAGCTCTAGGGGAACTCTCGATCGCCGCACATGTATCGGAGGAGCAGAGCGGCACAGGCATACGTGTTCGGAGGTCCACGCGGATTTTTGGATCTGCCTTGGGCCCCTCCTGGCGGCGAACCTTCCTCCTCCTCCTCCTCCTCCTTCTCCTCCTCCTCCTCGATACTTTAGCTCCTCCTCGCTCCTCCCACCTCCTCGCTCCTCCTCGTGCGTCGACCCAAGAAATGCGCGCGGACCTTCCTCGGCCCGTCCTGATCATGATGAGGGAGCCGTGCGAGTCTTATGCCGTCCCTGGGTGCGTCCGGCGTGCTCCTCCTCCTCCTCCTCGTCCTCCTTATCCTCGTCCTCCTCCTCATCCTCCCCCTCCTTCTCCTCCTCCTCCTCCTCCTCCTCCTCCTCCTGTGGGAGCAAGTTTTCAGGGCCCCCTTTAGGCCAGGACGTTACCAACCAGGACTTCGAAGAACGGGTAGTCTTCCGGCCCACGGGCTCGCACGCGTCCTGATTTACCAAAGTTCCCGTTTCGGGGCTCGATGTTTCTGTGAGTTGTAGTTATCTTCATATATACCGAAGCCCACAAGTCCACAAACATACTTTCCCGTTACGAAAGTGATTCATCTTGAGATTTGGCGACAAGGGCGTCTCCGAGCGGGACCCCCCGCCCCCCCGTAGATTCCTAGCACGGCAGCCTTCGGCCTGGTTGGGCGGGAGAGTTTTCCGGGATTCTCCCCGGTGTACAGTGAATAGAATACAACCAGTTCGGGATAGAATCTCCCACCAAATAAATTCACAAGGGGGAAAATTACTCTGGGCCAGTTTCACGCAGTTCTGAAGATCTCCCCGTGTGCAACCACACATGCCAATCACTTCCACACGACTTCTCAGTACAGCACACAGTCATGCAAATTTTAGAGCCAAGATGACTTAACTTTCGCAACGGGGATATAATGCTCGGAGGTTCGCGTTGATTTCTTTTGGATCCGCGCAGGGACCTCATGGCTCCGCTCCGCTCCTGGCGCGCCTCAGCGCGCCATGCAGGGTGGCCGAGCGCCGATCCGAGGAGTCCGCGCGGACCTCCAGAGTGTGCATGTGTTCCGCACTGCTAAGATCGGGGGCGGAAAAGAGGGGGGTGATGACTAGGGGGGGGTGGATATCATGGCGGGGGCCATGATATTTCCACAGATTTCATGGCGCCTCTTCTTGTTTCATTACGTCCCTGGCCCCCCCGCTGGGCCGCGCACATGCCGCCGGCCATGATTTGCACCCCTCCCTCTTGGACACCCCCCCTCTTTGCCGCTCCCGATACGACTCGCAGGCCCAGAGGTTGACACCAGCACCAAGATCGGCGGTGTGCATCCACCGAGGGGAGAAGATCCCGATCTCGGTGATGGTGGTCATATTCGGGCTTCCGAGGTGGCCGCATCGTTACCACCATAGCAGCGCCGAAGTCTAGGATCGTCTTCCCCGCCGTGGAGACACCCCCCTGTGTTGGTGTAGCCGCGGGTCGAGCGGCCGCGGGCGGCGCTCCCAGCAACTTCGGTTGAGAGCGTGCACTGGCCAGGGTGCCTTAGGTGACAGGCATGCTGGGCTGACACACTCACAAACACATACACACAAGCTTTAACACACACACACGCACACACACACACACACACACACACACACACACGCACACACACACGCACGCACGCACGCACGCACGCACGCACACACGCACGCACACGCACGCACGCACGCACGCACGCACGCACGCACGCACGCACGCACGCACGCACGCACGCACGCACGCACGCACGCACGCACGCACGCACGCACGCACGCACGCACGCACGCGCACACGCACACGCACACGCACACGCACACGCACACGCACACACACGAACACACGTGCACACCAACACACACACACACACTTACACACAAACACACGTGCACACACATGCACACACATGCACACATACATTTCCACGTCGTCGGCGAGGCAGAAGAGCTGCACCAGCGGGCGGCGATCCGGGGCGACAGATACTCGAAGTGGCCAGCGTGCAAGAGGGGGAAGAAGGGGGGCGGGCGGCTGCGGAGGATGGGAGGAGGAGGAGGAGGAGGAAAAGGATGAGGATGAGGATGAACAGGAGGAGGAGGATAAGGAGGAGAAGGATGAGGAGGAGGAGGACGAGGAGGAGGAGGAGGAGAACATTCCGACACGGAAGGCTTCCATGTCGAGTGGGTCAGTGCGTTTGTCAACGGCAGCGAGGCCGTGGCAGCAGCCGGTCCGCGGCTTCGGTGCACCCGTGCACACATGCAGGCATCACACAGTTGCTTCCCCTCCGACGCGCCAGTTGAGGTCCAGCCTGCGGTAGTATCGATAGGGGGCCACATGCGAACCCTACCCCTACCCCCCACGATTCTTGAGGGGGAGGGTGGGGTTCACTTCGTTCGGGAGCTCCCGAGCGAAGTGAACCCCACCCTCCCCCTCAGAATTCGTGGGGGGTAGGGGTAGGGTACGCACGTGGTCCCCTAATCGAGAACGGTCCGTGGCCAGGTATGCATCCACGGTTCTGGAAGCATGCGGACGCAGTGACGCCCGCGCGCGTACGCACGCACGCAGAGCTACTCCCCCTCCCACGCGCGCCCCTGGGCCCGTCCGGAATAGACGCCGTGTTGACGGTGCGCGCATTCTGCGACGTTGTCATGGTCTTTCCCATCTCGAAACTCGCGATGCTCCCGTCCCAGTCTGGAGGCTCCCTCTGTGGCCTTGTCCCCACGGACCAGAGCGCTGGTTGTGCATCCTTGCGCCGCCGACCCGATTCGATTCCGACCTGACGAGCCGAGGCGGGCCGATTCGATGCGCGTTCCGATCCGCTCCGAGTCCCCGAGTCGATGCTGCTTGCTCCTGAACTGTTCGCGCACGTCGCAGAGCTGCAGATCCTTCCAAGCCGAGGGGCTCGGCACGAGCCGCGGCCGCCCTCCTGCTGCACACATGCTGGCCCCGACGGGGAGGAGGGGGAGGAGGAGCAGGAGGGATCGAGCTGTTGTTCGACGTGTTTGTTCCTTGCCCTCCGGAGATGTACTTCCGGAGACCTCTGGAGGCCTGGAGGAAGACAGCTCGGGTCCAGGATCGGGATGCATCGCTCCACAGCGTTCCCGTGACGCTCTGAGAGCGTTCCAGAAAGCTATGAGAAGGCCGCGCTGCTGCGCAGTTGCGTTCGCAGTTGCCAAATGTCTGGCCCAGGGCCATCCCAGATGTCTTCCCCCGCATGTGCTCTTGGTCCTCAGACCCGCTCGCGCTTGCGAGAAGACGCGACCCTTGGGAGGCCCTTGCAGGGGCCCGGGACCGTCAAAAGAAGAGTGTTACTCGGGATGAGAAACAGGTCCCGCGCAGGGGTCGAGATTCTTCAGGCTTACGCCACATCCGCCGACCCCTTAAATGCGCTCGAGCAAGACATGTCTGACGCTGTTGAAAGAGCAGGCGGAAATGTTGGGTGCACAGAAGAAGCACAATTCATCCGGGGAGAGGCTCTGTCGGAAATGCGCGGAGGGGCGAGAGAACGAGGTGTGACGTGACGTGCGCGGCGTGCGGAGGAGCGTTCTCGGACACGAAACATTTGCAGCAGCAACAGGTGGGGAATCATCAAAAGGCGACAGGAGCGGCGCGTGCAAGAGAAGACTACCGAAGTCGGAGAGGTCGTTTGGCGTCTCGGAGCTTTCGTGGGCCGTCTTGGAGGCTTCTTGGGGCCTTCTTGGCCCGTGTTTGGGCTCTCTTGACCCCGGAAAAGTCCCGCGATGCGCTCGTGCCGGGCCCGGGGGGGGCAAATCTCCGGTTTGAGGTCCCGGAGGTAGTTTCGAAGTTCACTGATAGCCGTTTGGGGACCTCTTGGGGCCTCTTTTGGGCCTCTCGGGCGCTTTTTGGAGGTCTTTCGGGGGTCTCTTGGGACCTTTTGGGCGGCTCGTGGGGTGTCCCAGGGCCAGGTGGGAGCGAAGGGCTCGGATTTTCGGTTCGGGCTCCGCCGCTGGGGCCCCTCTAGGAGCCGTCTTGGGATTCTTTTGGGCCGATTCGGGAGCCTCTGGGGCCGTCTTGGCGCCGTTTTGGGCCATCTTGGGCGCCTTTTGGGGCCTTGGGACGTCATGGGGTGGCCTTGGGGGACACTGGCTGGAACTCCGTGCAGGCTGAAAAGTGGCCGATGCTAAAAATGCACGTTCCCCCAGGGAAAATCAATGATTCTCGCTGCTTTGGACCTTCTTGGAGCGCCCCTTCGGGGCCTCTTGGAGCGTCTTGGAGGCATCGTGGGCTGTCTTGAGCCCATATTGGTGGAGCCACCGAAGGCCACGTGGAGGTCCTCTTGAACCGTCGTGGTGCGTCCCGGGGCCATTTCGAGGCCATTGGAGGAGTCCCTGCAGGATTTTCGGGAGCGGATGACCCCCCCGGGGGAACCGGGGGAGCCGGGGGAACCGGGGAATTTGAACAGACCCCCCCCCCCCCCTCCAAATCGACCAGACCGGGCTCCCGGGGGAGGGGTTTGGGGGGGGGGGAAGTCTCACACGCCGATGAACCCCAAGGGGTCGGCGGATTTTCGTCGGGGCTTCGTAGGGGGAGGTTTAAAAGGTGGGGTTGGGGAACGGGCCCAGCCAGATGCTCCCGTTGAACGCGCTTCCTTCTTCCAGGAGCCGTCCCGAACGATCTTTCCTCCAACCCTACCCCCCCCCTTTGTGCCCCTCGATTTTGGGGAGGACTGCCGGCAGGCGGCTCCAGAAAGGGGCCCGGAGCGGCCCGAGAGGTGCCAGAAAGCTGGGGCAACGGAAGGTGCTGGAATGGTGCGCGCCTCTTCCCCCGCCCGTGGATCCCCGCCCCGTCCACGGATGCACGAGTCCTGCGGGGGTTTTCGGCGTCAAGCAATTCAGACCGTGGGTGCCTGGTCCCTCCTCCCACCCACCGCACTCTTCTCTCTGCCGCGGGCCCCGCGCACACGGGCCTCGGTCGAGTGACTCGACCGAGGCCTGTCCGCGTGGCGCGATGGCCGTCGTCGCCTCAGAGGTATGCTCGTGTGCCTTCGCGTAAGAATGAGCATCGTGGTTTCAGTCTTCAGTACGCTTCGCAGGAGCATCCAGATGAGGTGGTTGATCCACGGCTTTCTCCATTCCGAATTGGTCCAGATTTGATCCCCCCCGCCCTCCCATGTTGTACCCAGGAGGAGCACACAGAGGAGGGCAAGGTAGATGTGAAGGGGAAGTCCGTGAAGTGGCGCGTCGGGCTGACGAACTTCCCCAGAATAGAGGACGCTGCCGTGTTCTTTTTCGAGGGCGGTCGTACACATTATTGCTCTCGCTTCTTTTTTGTCTCTCTCTCTCTGTTCCCGTGTGCTCCTCAGTGCTGGACGTGGGGGGCACGCGGTGGTGCCCCGTGAAGGGGCTTCCGCGGTGCAGGCCATGATCGAATCCGATGTCAGCGATCCCGCTGGGCTCCACCGGTTTTACAGTCACGACAAGACGCTGCAAGAAGGACCAGCTCGGGCGCAGGAGGGGCTCCGGTGTCGGGGCCGCTCCTCAGACACAGGCTGGTGGGGGCCCAGTCGCGGCCGAGGCTCGCTGTGGCCATGAAGGCCCCTGCGCTCTCTTTTTGTTCTTGTGCTCCGAATGGCAGCACTTCGACTGCCTTGATCTCCTTCCGCTGGGCCCCGCTCATATACTTCAGAACAGGGAGGAGTGCACCTCCCCGATGCTCGCGTCGTGGTCTTCTCGAGGGTGCCAAAAGCTGGGTGCGGTAGCATCCCGACCACAGCGGCCTACGACACAATGCTTTGATCTGCGGGGCGAGAGCGAACTTCTTCCGCTGAAAGCTAGGCGGGCTACGCACAGCTTTACAAAACACACACACACACAGTCTACGAAACAAGCAGTAGCATAAACATATCTTCTCTGAGGCCCGTGATGGTTTCCCGGAGCGGCGCCGGGCCCCCCCTGGGCGGCGCCCCTGGCGCCGCCCCTGGCGGCGCCTCCGCGCGCCCGCGAGGGGGGCTTTAGCGCTGACCCAGAAGTCCGCGCGGAGCCCCGAGAAGTTGTGTTCACTCCGAGAAATGAGTGTTTTTTTTGCTTTCTTGCCTTTTCGCTCTTGAGGCCGTCTTGGGCCATCTTGGACGCCCCAACGGCCCGCGGAACCCTCCGTCCAGGTCCAGGGGAGGGGGTAGGGGAAGGGGTAAGCTGCTCCCCGAAGGGGAAGAAGGGGGTTGGAAGAGGAAGCTCTCTAGGCCACCGACGCCCAGAGAGCTGGTGGGATTGTGTTCACTCCGTGTTCTCTTCCTCCATACAGACAAGGCTCCGCGTTGGAGGCCCTCCACAGCTTCACAGTGATGACTGCAACAGGCCCCTGGAAACTTGTGCCAGCCAGCCCGGCCCAGTCCAAACCACTGTTTTTTTTTAACCGTCCCCCCATCACTTGTCGAGCTCTTCCAGGGAGGTCAACCTCAATACAGTGTGTGTTGGTTCCGTAGCCATTTGGGCTCAAGTCACGCTCGGCTTGCGCATTCTACGCTGCACCACACATACACGCACTGACCTACGAGCTCAAATCGGTCTTCTAGTCTTCTGATCTGCAGGATGGTAGCAGACCGGCAGGTCGAGACCATGCTCCTGGTGGTGTTCGTCGCCAGTATGCCCATCGCAGCATCGCTCAAGACGCAGACCTTCACCAACACCTCGCAGGCGGCTGGCTCAGGAGCGCCGTGCACGTTGGCCGACACCTCTGGCTGCCAGGACAAAGACGTCATCTTGTACAACCCGGTGACGAACGGAGACGGGAGCGTCCAGGGGTTGGTACTCACTTTCTGGAGCGGGCAGTGGGGCACGGTTTGCGACGATGTCACGGACTGCGACGCGCCCGGCGGAGGGACCAGTCCATGCTCCAACGGCTACGTCAACGTCGCCGGAGGTCAGCAGCTGGCGGCGGTCGTGTGCCGGGAGCTCGGCCTGGACGCGAGCGGAGCCCAGGAGTACAATGCGGATGGGAGTAGTTCAGGGTACCCGATCCACGTTGACGGCACGAGCAACCACATCAGCGGCTGCGCGGGCACGGAGGCGGCCCTTGCAGACTGCGCGTGGCTCCTCTACGGCTCCCACAACTGCGGGCATGAAGAGGACGTGGGCGTTATCTGCCAGCCTGCCGGCCCAACGAGCAGCCCGACGCCTTCGCCAACGCCTGCTCCAACGGTGGCGCCAACGAATTCGGCTTCTGCCACTGGCGACCCCCACCTGACGAACGTTCACGGCCAGAAGTTCGACTTGATGAAGCCGGGCAAGCACGTTCTGATAAACATCCCCCGTGGAGAGCCCGCGGAGAACGCCTTCTTGCGCGTGCAGGCCCTTGCTCAGCGATTGGGTGACAAGTGCGGGGAGATGTACTTCCAAGAGGTAAACGTTACAGGGTCTTGGGCAGAGGCAACACAAGCGGGAGGGTATCATTACAGCATCTCGCAAAGCGCCGCTAAGACTCCAGAGTGGGTCGCTTTTGGCGAGGTGGAGTTGAAAGTGGTTCAAGGACGTACGCACGCTGGCATGAAGTATTTCAACGTATACGTGAAGCGCTTGGGGCGAGCGGGGTTTGTTGTGGGAGGTCTACTAGGGGAAGACGATCACACAGATGCAACACAGGCCCCAGCGTCATGCCACAGGCAAGTTACTTTAGATGGGAATGCGGACGACCAGGATTCGTTGAGCATCACCTGGCCGTCCGCGTCGTCAAGCTTCGCGTCATTTGCATCTGCAAGCTTGGAGTGAGCATGCATTCGATCTGCGATACCACGCGATGCTTTTTATGTTTCTGTTCTTCGACGCACAGGAAGCACCGGCATCGCAGCTATCCTCCATCCTGGAATCTCCTCTCACTCCTCGCTCCTCTTCTCTGCCCCATCCTCGCCCATCTTCCATTCAGGGAAACAGCATGCGTGTGCGGCCCGATCTGGCCGCGCGTCCTGTTTTCCCTCGTTCTGGCACGAGTGGCCCTAGACTGTCCTTTCTAGCCACCGTGCACGCCGTAAAAAAACGCAGCATGTCTTGATTCATCCGAATTTGAACCCCGGGCGGGCAGCATCCAAGCCACCTCGATTATTAAGTCAAAAGACCAGTGGAGCACGAGCGTCAACACAGCTTGGTTCGAGCTCCGAACATGACGGACAGATGTGTCAGAGGTCAAGTTGCTTGTAGCTCTTGTATGCGGTAGTCCAAGCTACTTGCTGTCACGCGGAAGTGCCTGCGCAATGGGGCACACGCCTTCCCTGCAAGCGCATCGCGCGTGGGCCCCTGCCTCCTCGCCTTCGGAACGCAATCGCCGCGAGCGCCCGCGTGCTTTCGAGGATGAGGGCTCGGCGGGCGGGAGGGAGAGGGAGGAGGAGGGGGACCATGGATTGGATCGGATCGGAGGGGGGGGGGGGGGGGGCAACAGCGGGGATTGGATTGGCCAGGGCTTGGACGTCGAAATCCCGCTGCCCATCCCTGCCCACACATCCGATGTGGGCAGCGGTGGCCCGCCCAAACCTCCGGTCTCGCCTTCGGGGGTCAGCCTCGCCAGGAGTCGACGAGGCATTTCCAAGTTTTAGGTCGGCGCGGCTCCCCTGGGCCACAGATACCCCCTTTCGCCCCCCCTCCCCTCCCCTACCACCGCCCCCCCTTTCGCCCCCCCCCCCCCCCCCTCCCCTCCCCTCCCCCCTCCCTCCCCCCCCCCTCCCCCGCCCCTCCCCTTTCCCCTTTCGCTCCCCTTTCGCCGCCCCCCTCCCCCCCCACCCTCCCCCTTTCCAGGGGCCCTCTGAGAGGGTCCCTGGAAAATCTGCGGAGAGCTTCGAAGGTCTCCGGATGCCTCCAGATGTCGCCCCTGGAGGCCTCCGGGCGCCCAGAGAGGGCCGACGGTCATCAAGCCGAATCATCTGACATTTCATCGCTCGCCTTGCAGCGCTGCCTCCTCCTCCTCCTCCTCCTCCCTTGATTCCTGATGGCGTGGGGGCACGAGGAGCTCGCAGATGCTGCCCTCCACCCCCCAGGGCAGGACAGCCTTGGGTGGGTGACCAAGCCAGTGGGCCAGGCGACTCCTGGAGCATCCGCTCCAGGAGTCGCCCGCTGGTGCGGAGCAGAGCGGTTGGTGAAGACAGGCAGCAGACACGAGGAAGAGGAAGAGGGCAGGGGGAGGAGGAGGAGGAGGAGGAGGAGGAGGAGGAGGAGGAGGAGGAGGAGGAGGAGGAGGAGGGAGGAGGAGGGAGGCGGAGGAGGAGGAGGAGGAGGAGGAGGAGGATGAGGATGAGGAGGATGAGGGAGGGCAGTGAAGAGAGGTGGCGGTGCGGCGCTGGCCTAGAGAGGCGGCGAAGCAGGGCTGAGGGCGGGGCGCTGCGTGGGCGATCGCGGGCGGCCGACGCGTGAGGGCAGCCGTGCGTCGGAGGTCCGCGCGCTCGCCACGGCGGCAGACGCAGCGGCCTCTCCCCCCCCTCGGAGCCCCCCCGGGCGCCCCCCCCGCTCCAACGGCGGGGGTCCTCGCGCCGCAGGGCAGGCGCAGGGGCCCCCCCAGGGCGCGGGGCTTGGGGGCCGCCCGGGGGGGGGGAGGGGGGGGGGGGTCCACCGAGCTCTGGGGGGGAGGCTTGCGCCCTCCGCGTGGCGGTGGCGCTCCCGGCAGAAGCCAGCCCCCCCCCCCCCCCAACCAGATGGGCTCGCCTCCCTTTTCACGGTTTGCGCTGCGAGAGCGCGAAGATTGGCCCGGGGCCAGCGGGGAGGGGGATGGCAGAAGGGCGAGGTGGCCACTCGGAGCGGTTACTCGGTGCCGCGGGGGCCGCGGCCACCCTTTCGTTGATGGTCCCAGGCGGAGTTCCCCCCCCAAAAAAAGGCCACCCTTTTGCCAAGGTGGCCAGTGGCATCCGCGCGCAGATTGCCGACGTCGCTTGCTGTGACCGCTTGCGCATGTGAAGCAGTGGCGTGCATGTTGCGGGCCGCGGCCACCAGGTGTTTCGCCTTGGTGGCCCGCGGCGAGCTTCGCCACCGTCCTCCTCACCGAGAAATGCACCATCACGTCCCGCCCCACAAGAGCGGTGACAGTGTAGGTTAGTTGGGAGGGAAGAGCGCGGAAACATAATGTTGGGATTGGGAGGTTGGACAAAAACGCGTTCTGTGGTCGTTTGGGGGGGGGGGGAACCGGACCCAACCCCCCTTCCTCGCCTGCTTCCCCTCTCCTCGGGCCGGCACTTGCGTCGGCTGGCGGCGGCGACGGGGACGACGATTTCTTTTTCTGGGCCGGCGCCGGCGCCTGCGGCGGCGGGCGGCGGCGGCGCGGATCGTCGACGAGGACGACAGTGGTAGTGGTGGTGGTGGGTTGCGGTGGTGGCGGTGGCGGTGATGGTGCTTGTGGTGGTGGCGGTGTGGTGGTTTGTTGTGGTGGTGGTGGAGGTGGTTGTGGTGGTGGGTGGTGGTGGTGGTGGTGATTTGGTCGTGGTGGTCTGATGGTGGTTTGTGGTGGTGTTGGTGGTGGTGGGTTGTGGTGGTGGTGATGGTTTGGTGGTGGTGGTGTGGTGGTGTGGTGGTGGTGGTGGTGGGTTGTTGTGGTGGCGGTGGTTTGTGGACGTGTTGCTGGTGGTGGTGGTGGTGTTGGCGGTGGTGGTGGTGGTGGTGGTTTGGTGGTCTGTGGCGGTGGTGGTGGGTTGTCCTGCTGGTAGTGGTGGTGGTTGTGGCGGTGGTGGTGGTGGTGTGGTAGATTGTGGTGGTGGTGGTGGTGGTGGTGGTGTTGGGTTTTTGTGGTGGTGGTGGTGGTGGTGTGGTGGTGGTGGTGGTTTGTGGTGGTGGTGGTGGTGGGTTGTGGTGGTGGTGGGCGCTCGTGGTGGTGGTGGTGATGGTGAGTTGCGGTGGTGGTGGTGGTCGTGGTGGTGTGGTGGTGGTGTGGTGGTGGTTTGTGGTGGTGGTGGTGGGTTGTGGTGGTGGTGGTGATTTGTGGAGGTGGTGGTGGTGGTGGCGGCGGTGGTGGTAGTGTGGTTGTTTGTGGTGGTGGCAGTGGGTTGTGCTGCTAGTAGTGGTGGTGGTTGTGGCAGTGGTGGTGGTGGTATGGCAGATTATGGTGGTGGTGGTGGTGGTAATGGTGGTGGGTTTTTGTGGTGGTGGTGGTGGTGATGGTGAGTTGTGATGGTGATTGTGGTGGTGGTGGTGTTGGTGTGGTGGTGGTGGTTGTGTGGTGGGTTGGTGGTGTGGTGGTGGGTTGAGGCGGTGGTGGTGGTGGTAGTGGTGGCGGTGCGGTGGTGGTAGTGGTGGTAATCGTCGCTGCGTCCCGGTCGTCGCCGGCGCCAGCGTCAGCGCTGCTGGCCGCCGCCAGCGCCGGCGCCGGCGCCAGGGTGGGGGAGGGTTTGAGACCCCCCCCCCCCGGCGCCCAGGGGGGCGGGGGGGGTGAAACGCCCCCCCCCCTCCCTTGGGCTGCCTCTGGTCATCGCCGCTGGCGATCATGATGCGGGTTGGTGCCGGCATCCGTTGCGCAGCGCAGGTGGCGGTCGCCACCCATGTGTGTTTTTTCTCGATCAGGCGTCGGGGAGAGAAGTATGGAGGAGTGGAACAGCTCCGTGCTGAGGGTGTTGGCAATGTGGGATAGGTCTCGCCCTTGCGACGCTGACTCGTAGGGTGCTGGGCCTGAGTACGTGGGCTCTGCGGCACTGTCGTTATGTGTCACGGTGCTCGGTTCTCCGTGCGTGTGGTGATTGTCCGTCCCATCTCCCTCATTTGGTGGCCCCCCACTATCGTTTCCGCCGTGGGTCGCAGGCTGCCCAGCGATGTTGCCAGGTGGGCGGCTCACTGGGCCTCGATCAGCTCGTTGATCTTGCCGATGGCCTTGTTGGCGACGCCCCTCTGGAAGAGCGAGATCGCGAATGGAGCCGCCTCTGAAGTAGGGTTATCAGCGTTTCCTCAGCTCGATGTGCGTGAGGAGGTCGCGCTGCTCTTGAGCGGCTGCGCGTCGGTGGGTCGGTGCGATCGCCAGCGATCGGGTAGGCGACCATCGCGGCCAGCTGGTGGTTGGTAAAGTGAGCCATGACGGTCTGCTGGAAGGTCATTGTGAGTAGGCGTGTTGGTGGATGTGCATCGCGACGGATGAAATAGATGAGGGAGGCCGCGACGTAGATCACCAGGACGTCGTGTTCGCATCTCAGCATGTCGTTGGGGTCTGTGCCGCAGTCCTAAATAGTCTCGGGGTCGCTTATGTCTGAGATGGCCTCTGGGATCAGCCTGTGGACGTGGACATTGAACATATGGGTATTAGTTTCGTAGTGGATGTTGCTGATGTTGTTGATGGTCGAGCGCGCTATAGCATCTTGTTGATGATCTGCCCCAGAGGATCCTGATCTCATGCCAGTGCGTGGTACCTCGATGGGCGTGGTGGCCTGCTCGTATATTGTACCCATGTGTGGTACGGTAGAGGGAAACAATTACTGAACACTCCCCCTCCCCCCAAAACTCAATGTTGGCACGCGCGGGGGAGACTGCGGTCGAAGTGCACGTCATCAGACACACCGCCAACTTTGAACATTAGGGGGAGAGGGAGGCGTTGACAGATGAATGTGGCATGAGTGTTCGCTAATTTGTTCCGAGGCCTGTATGGTCGGTTCTTTGACGGTGGTTTTGGCGGGAGGCGACTTATGCCAGTATATACCATCGAATGGAATTGTTTCTGGGATTGTTGTAGGAAGGCGTCGATGGCAAAGCGCAGCTCGTCGTGCTCCGCGTGGTGGCGTGTATGAAGTGCCTCAGCGTTGCCGAGCCTTGCATGGCAAATTGTGCAGAAGTTGTGGGAGTCGTGGCTTCAATTGCCTGGAATGCGAGCTTGGCTGGCCTGGATACGGCCATTGCGTCCTTCCATGCTCGGTGTAGCCTCCGACAGGCTCGCCGTGCTCGTAGCAGTGCGAATGCGACGTCAGCGACAAACGGTTCGCGTGCCCGTACCGCCTCTTGCTCGCAGTGTTTTTTTTCCGCGGGCTCCTTGACCTCCCTGTTGAGGTGGAGGGCGCGGTCGTCGATGTCGTACTCCAAGGGGTGAATGTCGATCTTGCTCAGCTCATCCTGGCGCGTTGGGTTAGCGATCGGCGTCGGGTGAAGCCGTGGTGCGGCGTGTTTGGTGCAGGAGATGGCGTCGCCGCAGTGCGGGAGTGCGCAGGCGAGCCCCCGAGGTGTCCCCATGACCAATCGGAGGGACATGGTCGACGTGTTTGCGTCTTTTTATGAGGACCTGTATTCGTCAAAGGTATCAGTACCGATCCTGCCGGAACTGGGAGATCCACCTGTCGTCGCCGAGGGTTTACCGAGCGTCACGACGGACGAAGTTCAAGAGGCAATTCGCCAGCTCAAGCGGAATAAGTGCGCAGACACTGGGGGCATCTTTGCCGAGATGCTCCTGGAGAGTGGGGATGTACTTCTGGATGCTTTGGCTGCTCTTTACAACGCCGTCCTGAATGGGTCTTCAGAGCCGCCAGAGACGTGGAGACAGTCTGTGATCACGGTGATGTGCAAATCTGGAGACGAGAGATTGCCAAATAACTACCGTCCAATAACAATCATTCCAATATCATATAAACTATTCGCGCGGCTTTTGCACAATCGTTTATCGAAGATCTTGGAGCCGCAGCAGAGCGTTGATCAAGCTGGGTTCCGGAAAGGCTTCTCTACATAATACCACCTTTTCACGATGATGATGATCCAGGAGCAGGCTGACGATCACCAGCTCCCTGTATGGTACGCAGCGCTGGACTTTCAGAAAGCTTTCGACTCCGTCGAGCACCGTGGCTTATGGAATGCACTTTTCAAGCAAGGCGTACCGGTGAGCTACATAGGGTTATTGCAGCGGCTGTACGGCAAACAAACAGGGCAGGTACACACTGACGCACGGAGCCGCTGGTTCAACATATCCCGTAGGACAAAACAGGGGGATCCGTAGAGCTCCTCGATCTTCAACGCGCTGCTGGAAGACATCATGGGACGTGTAAAGGCGGGTTGGCACACAAAACGCTATGGCATTCAACTGGGTTACACACAGGAGTATTGAATGAGTAATTTACGTTTCGCCGACGATGTTCTTCTATCCAGCAAAACGCTGCACCAGATCAAGCAGATGTTGGCGGATGTGCACCAACAAGCTGGTGCAGTTGGCATCCAACTACATCCAGACAAGACGAAGATCTTCACCAACGCGACGAAGAAGACAGGGCGTGGTAAGGATACATATGCAGACATAACGGCATGCACATCGAAATCCTGAGCTTTGAAGGGAGAGTGAAATATTTGTGCAGATTGTTGGGTGGTGGAGCCTGCATACAGGATGAGATCGAGCACCCGATTCGTCAATCCTGGAAAGCCTTCATGGCTCACAAATAGGAATTGACGTGCAAGCGGTACACCTTGACGAGCCGCCTTCGCCTCTTCGACAGCGTCGTTACCCCGGTGGTGATGTGCGGCGCCTCCAGCTGGACGCTGACGGCAGAACCTCGACGCACGCTGCGAACAACCCAGCGCAAAATGCTACGCCTGATCTTGGGATCTGGCCGGCGGCCGATGGAAGTGCAGGAGGCCCTCGAGTCGGCGAGCTCGTCTGCGACAGTTCCTGACACCGACGACGAGCAAGAGCAAGTTGCTGTCGAATCTTGGATTGAGTGGGTTACCAGGACGACCAAACAGATCGAATTACATGTATCTTCGAATGGCATTGAAGATTGGCTTCTCCTCTGGCGACGCCGGGTGTGGAGATTCGCTCGCCGGGTCACGGCGCTGTCCTCTGGAAAATGGTCTCTGCGAGCTGCGATGTGGGACGCCGGCAGGGACAAGCGAGCAAAAGGCAGGCCACCGAACCGTCCGCGCAAGAGGTGGGCTGACGACATCTGCACATCTCTACAATCGAAAGGGTTCGACGCAAGACATGACAATTGGTTTCTTGTGCTTTTCTCTGCTGAGCAGTGGTCTGCGTTTGAAGATGGCTTCCTCGACATCCCCAACTGAGCGCTACGGCGTTGCGCGCCTGCGGCTCAGTCCCACTCTGGGGAAGGGGCGGGGACGGTGCTGCGGCAGGGGTGCACGCTGAACTCCCTCGAGCGAGCTGGGCTCGTGTGGCGCCGCCCCCCGCGGGTCTCCCGCCCCCCTCTTCAAGCATTGCACCGAGGAAGAACAAACACCCAGACACTCACCGACGCACTGGAGACCCCATGCCAAGAAACACCCGGCTTGCCTCCAGGGGGCCCTGGGCGTCTTGGGTCTCAATGGTTTTGCTACAGAATCGAGTGACACTCCCACCGAAAATCGATGGACGTCTGGGGGTCTCAGGGTTGGGTGTCTTCTGGAAGGTTTCATGTGGTCGAGCTCCTCGTGGCCCCAGTACTCCCGACGCCCTTCTCGGGAATAGGTTCGCGTCCCTGATCCGTATCTGATGGTCCCGAGGCCCGACGACGGGCCCAGCGGATCCAAGCCGAGGAACAGCGCCCATATTGAAAACGCAGATCCTCGGAGATGTGGGAACACGGTCGGGGCGAGGCGTAAGAACATGTTTGGTTGGTGGAGGGCACCTGGTATGGTTCGTTTGGTTGCATGTCATTGTGAAGCTTGTGGAGGAGGACGCTTCCTTTGTTCGCTCGTTCCAGTAAGGTTGTGGTTCCAGGCCATGCTCCTCGGTGTTCCCCATGGCTTCCTCGATCGGCAGGTAGCCGAGGTGGTCGGGCGGCTCATCGGAAGGGTGCCCTCGGTGACCCGTTCTGGGCTTCTCGGTGTCGGCGGAGGGGCTCATGTTGCGTTCTTTTGTCCACGTTCCCGCTGTATCCTCAGGTGCAACGATAGGGGGGGATAGGCATACGGGGGGTTGCATCGACCCCTGATCGCCCATTGACCACCGGATCGCCCCCTACCTGCCCAGGAGGGTGCGGACTCACGATCGGGGGCCTATCGCCGATCTGTCGGCGATGTATCGCCGGTATCAGGTCGATGCATCCCCCCCCAGTGCCACCCCCCCCCCCCCCCTATCGTTGCCCCTCAGATCCTCGAGCCTCCGCTCACCCCGCGGCAGGAGTTCGAGAGCCCGGCCTTCCACCTGGGAGACTACGGGCCCGTGCACCTGCGGCTGCGCGGCACTGGTGGCGCCGCCCGCCCTCCGCCGTGCGCCGACGCCGCCGCCCCGCCGCCGCCCAGCCCGCCTCCTCCTCCTCCTCGTCCCTGCCGCGATGCGATGGCGCACGGCGGCGGGGACGAGGGGGAGGAGGAGGGGGAGGAGCATGGGGAGGAGGAGGAGGAGGAGGAGGAGGGGAGGAGGAGGAGGAGGAAGGAGAGGAGGAGGGAGGAGGAGGAGGAGGAAGAGGAGGAAGAGGAGGAGGAGGAGGCGGAGGAGGAGGCGGAGAGGAGGAGGAGGAGGTGGAGGAGGAGGAGGCGGAGGAGGAGGAGAGGGGAGCCCAGGCCCGTGGAGCGCATGCGGGCCTCCCAGATGTGGTGCTGGCTGATGGGGTCGGAGGATCGCGAGTGGGCAGCCAGGGCTGGAGCCGCCAAGGCTGCTGAGCGCTGATTGGTCGCCACTGCGCGGTGCGTCAGTCCAGGCGGGTGGGGTCTGCAATGTCGGTCTGCGACCACTTTGGAGCAGGTCCAAGGTCCAGTCGGCGCTGGGGCACTGGACGCACCCGCTGGGGCTCACCTGGCGGCAGACACCCTTGGAGCCCTGAACCCCGGGCGGCTTTTGCAGAAATGCCACCCACTGGGGTAGAGCTCGCATGTGGCTGCCTGATAATCCTTCGCATCCGCGTCTATGATTGTTTCAATCCGCGGCCACAGAGTTCCCGACCCCTTCCCCGGGGGGTCGTTTTTCGTCAGTCGGGATTTATGTTTACTGGTCCTGGGCCTCGAAAGCGGCCCCCACCCCAGGCCAAAATCGAGGAAAGGATGACGGATTGAAACATTCATATCGTTGGAGATGTGGGATCGAATCAGCTTGCAGGCGGCCAACGGGTTGGCCAGTGAACGATACGTTTGCAGGGCTAAATGGTATCATTCGCCTTCTGGTTTCTCTCCCTCCTCCTCCTGCCCCCCACCGCTTCTTTGTAGCCAAAAACTGTATAAGACACTCTGCCGGCCGCAGGCAAGAGTAACGTCAGTCCTCCGTATGCATTCCAACAACTATCACCTGATGCGTGCCGCCGCGAAACAGGCACGGAAATGCCACGTCACTCTATCTTCGGAGAAGATATTTGCAGGTGGCCATCTGGCGCCATCTGCCGTCGATGGCACCCGTTGACCGCTCTTCCTCGCTCCTTTTTCGCCCTCGTCCCGCCCTGCTGTCTTCCCGTTCAGGCTTCCCTCCTCGGCTTTGCCGCTCCCTCCCCTCCGCGCGGGCCTTGGCACGCGAGGTCTCGGGACGGCCTCGGCGGCGGCTTCCCAGTGTCCTCGCGGCTCACAATGTCACCGGGCGCGTTCCACTACTCGCAAAGTGCCTACTCGCAAACGTCCTCGAACAAAAAAGCATGCTCGCCTCGACGTAAGGGATCGCAGATGCTCCGTTGCGAGCAGCTTTACGTCGGGCATGCTCCTCTACAGGAGGAGCGCTCAAGAATAGCGAACAAAAATACGGGGACGACTTTTGGGAACCGTCTTTGAATATTTCTGCATTTGTTTGGCTACGTTTTGACGTTTCCCGAGTCCGCCTGCAGGGGGACGTGCCCGACCTAAGTCAGGAGGGGAAAACACACACACACACAGACACCATAAATCTTCGATTCCCCGGAAAGTATGGGAAACTATGGGCAGTGGGGGGGGGGGGAAGACCAAAACCCAGGACATATGGGAACACATGGGGATTGCCTTTTACTTGTGTGTATTTATTTGCATGTCCCAGGGCCCCTTCACGAAGGGATCAGTTGCCCTGCGAGCAGCGCCGCGCCGCGCGTCTGCCGCGCGCGGGGGCGCGGTTTGGCACGGCCGCCGCAGGCCCTGGGCTGCGCCAGGAGTGCTGTTCACAGCGTCGAGCTCTGGAGGTCTCGACCCCTTCCTCTGCAGGCGGAGGAGCGAGGAGGAGGAGGAGGAGGAGGTGGAGGAGGAGGAGGAGGAGGTGGAGGAGGTGGAGGAGGAGGAGAAGGAGGAGGCGGAGGAGGAGGAGGAGGAGGAGGAGGGAGGAGTGGAGGAGGGATAGGAGGAGGAGGAGGAGGAGGAGGATGAGCGAGGAGGAGCGAGGATGAGCGAGGAGCGAGGAAGGAGGAGGAGGAGGAGGAGGAGGAGGAGGAGGTTGGAGGAGTCGTTTTGTGACGTCGACCCCCAGAGGTCTCGACCCAGTCCCCTGCAACTCTGAGACCCCAGGACGTCCACGGATTTGGGGTCTGGGAACGTCACGCCTTTTTCCATCGCAGAACCAGCGAAGCCCAAGATACCCAGGGCACCCTGGAGGAAAGCAGAGAGTTTCTTGGCATGGGCCTCCACTGTAACGATGGACTCTCGGTGGCGGTGGTCCTTCCCAGACCCCCGACGTCATGATTTGTCCATAACGTCGACCCCTGGATGTCACGACCCATTCCCCTGGACCGGTTTTTCATCCTGAATCGTTTTCTGACGGTCACGTTAAGTCGGGCGTGTCCCTCTTCAGGGGCAATCCGAAAATAGTAAAAGTAATATTGGGACGATGTTTCGATTATGTTTGGTCTATTTTGGGGATTTCGTCCAGAATTCGCCTGTAGGGGGGACATACCCGACCAAACGGTCACGAGGCCCGGTATGAGGGCCCCAGAGGCAGAAAATGGCACAGAAGACCTCCCGCCATGCTTTTTCTATGAATTGCCTGAGGGGGGTTCGGGTCTTCCTCTTCGCGGCTCCCACTAGGGCGCGGCGAGCACTGCCTCCCCCCCCCACCCCCGCCCCCCGCAGGCGACGAGTGCCAGCTGTCGCTGCACGCGGAGGGCGCGCGCCCCAGCGGCGCGAGGCGCCGCCCGCGCCTCTCTTCTCCGCGGGGAGGCCTTGGCGCTGCGGGGCCGCGCGGCCTCGGGCAGTGCGAAGGCCAGGGGCCGCGCTCCTCCCTCCTCCCTCCTCCTCCTCTTCCTTCTCCTCCTCCCCCTCCCCCTATCACTCCTCCTCCCTCCTCTGCCTCCCCTCCTCCCTCCCCTTCCCCCTCCCACGATCCCCCTCCTCCTCCTTCCTTCTCCTCCTCCTCCTCCTTCTTCTCCTCCTCCTCCTCCTGCTCCTCATTTTTCTCCTCCTCCTCCTCCTCCTCCTCCTCATCCTCATCCTCATCCCAGACCTCCAACACATGGAGCATATCACTCAGTGGAGGACCAACCCAGACCACCCCCTCGGGCAATGAAGAAATCATGACGGGAGGTGTTCTACCCTTTTCGGCCTCTGAGGGCCCTCACCAGCCCTCGGTACCGTCAGGACACGAGTCAGGATGAAAAACCGGTCCAGGGGAATGAGTCGAGACCTCCAAGGGTCGACCTTATGAACAAGTCATGCCGTCGGGGGTCTGAGAAGGACCACCGCCACCGAGAGCCAATCGCTACAGGGGAGGCCCATGCCAAGAAACGCCCTGCCTGCCTCCAGGGTGCCGTGGGCATCGAAGGTCTACCAAGAGTCCATGGACGCCCTGGGGTCTCAGGCTTGGGCTTCTTGTGGAAGGTTTCTTGTGGACTGGCCTCCACTATGGGGGACTGGCCCCTGGGCGGTGGCGCGCCCGAGCGTCACCCCGAGCAGCGCGTGCCACCGCCCAGAGGCCGGCCCCCTCCCGAGGGGGTTCTCGGCGGCGGTGGCCCCGGCGGTGTCCTCTGAGCCACCACGGAGCTGTTGTTTTTTTGCGGGTCTCGGCCTCTGGGGGCCCTCGCCGGGCCCCCGGAGCCGTCCACAAGCACGGCCGGGGAGGAGACGCCGGCCCCCCGGGGAAGGGGTCGAGAGCCTTGGTGGCCGACGCCAGATACAAGCAGCAATGTCGGAGGAGGAGGAGGAGGAGGAGGAGGAGGAGAGCGAGTCGGGAGGGAGCACGCATCAGGCTTGCACCTAAGGTCAGAGCAACGGCAAAAAGTCAGGAGGGAAAAGCAGTAGCAACGACACACCGCCGTTGGGAGCCCACCAGCATGTTGCACCTTCGCACTGTTCCACGAAGTGCCCAGTGTTTCGGCAGGTAACACACGCTATGGGTTCCCCTCGCCAGCGTGTCGTTGATGCTGGTTCGGGTCCCCCACTTAGGCTCAAGTTGGGCATGTCCCCCTACAGGAGGAATATGCAAAAGAGTAGTCTGGGGACGAGTACTCGATTATTTTTGAATACTTGTTGGTTCTTTCTCCTTCCAAAATCCGCTTGTAGGAGGACATGCCCGACCTAAATATAGGCTCAGGGGGGGGAACGCATCGACCCCGAATCGCCCCCTCGGCCAGTGGGACTTGCCAGCTCGCCACGGGGACCGAGGGTCGAGGAGGTCCCTGACGTCTGCTCTGCAACCTGTTCGCGCGGTGGCTCCGGTTGTGATGCTCGACGGTGTTGCAATGTGCTCGCGACGCAGAGGAGCAAGGGGTTCGGGCGATCTTGAGCGTCTTGGGGGGCTCCGAGGGCACCGCGGGGTCGTCCTCTTCGAGGAGGCGGCGACACGCGGCGAACCCTTCGGCACTGCCCAGTGAGCTGGTGTCGGGGAGGCCGGGGGCGGGGCAGGAGTGCCCCTGGCCTCCTCGCGTCGGGAAGCAGATCACGGCGGAAGGCTTCTGTCTCAGTTTGCTGCCAGATGGAACGCCGGAGGTCCGCCTACATGGCGGAGGGGGAGGAGGAGGAGGAGGAGGAGGAGGAGGAGGAGGAGGAGGAGGAGTCGTGTATGGAGAGGAGGCAGAGGAGGCATGGTTTTTGTCCAAGTTTCCAGACGGAGGTCCGCCTACCCGGCGGACCTCCGTCTGGAACGCCTCGGCACAGACGGAAGGCAGGGGAGGCAGGAAGCGAGGCAGCGGAGAGGAGGATGGGGAGAAGAAGTTTCGTGAGATTTCCACTGGTTCCGTGGTGCTCTAGAGGCGAGAGTCCTGGGTGGGAGGGGTGCCGGGTGTACGGAACAGAGGGCAGGAAAAGCAGGGGTGGGAAGGGATGGGCTCTGAGAGGAGACGGGGAAAATCGAGGAGAGAGAGATCGATGCCTAATCCGGAAGAGGGAGGAGAGGATAAGGGAGCGAGAATGGTGCAGGGGTTGGATGGCCAGGAGCTTTGTTTATTAGCGTACAGGGAGGCTGGAAACATGAGAGGCGTCCGGGCTCGGGTGTGTCAGTTTTTTTCTGGGCCTCCGGCTCTGTCTTTTTCGGGCGGTTAGGGGAACCTTGAAACAGGGTTATGTAACCTTTATGTGCTTCCAGCCGCTTATGTCTTTTGTTGGGGGGGGCACGGCCCCCACCTGGCGCGGCGAGATCTTCTTTTTTTTCCGCCCGCTTGTGTTATTTCATTATGGTCCGCACGTTTTGCTTGTCGTTTGCGTTTTCGCTGGCTGCTCCATTGACCTCTTGCTTCTTAGCCTCCCCCACGCTTCCGGCGACATTGTAGCCTCATTGGTTTCAGGGTTGGTCGTGGACATTGTTTGAGTGGGTTGGCGGTTTGACCATTCGCGCCTTATATACATACAGGTTGTTGCGAGAGGTATCCATGCTCAGGCATATGGGGGCCTCCTTTGCAGTCTCGAGGCCGTATGTAGCAGTCCCATGGCCCTCTTAGGTCGTCTCAGAGTTTCCGGTGTCTTCCAGGACCTCCGGGAGATCAAGGTGAAGGCCCAAGAAGGAGCGCCGCGCAGTGGCCCGCAGATGGGGCCTGGCGCTGGTGGGGGTACACAGGGACATAGAGGCCCCCGTGCGAAGACATACGCACTGCGACGTTCTGATGTGACATACGCGTGGCAACCCGAACATATTGAGGGAAGCGTTGTTGGAAGGCGCAGCCAAGAGCGCTGCCGTTCGGCACACATGCGCTGCGCGCCCGGAGCGCATCACGTGTGAACTTTTGGTCAGCACTTCATGGGAGGAGGAGGAGGAGGAGGAGGAGGAGGAGGAGGAGGAGGAGGAGGAGGAGGAGGAGGAGGAGGAGGAGGAGGAGGAGGAGGAGGAGGAGGAGGGTGGAGGGGGAGGGGGAGGGGGAGGGGAGGGAGGATGAGGAGGGGAGGAGGAGGAGGAGGAGGAGGAGGCAGGAGGATGCGAGGAACAGGAGATACTCGAGGAGGAGGAGGAGGCGGAGGTGAGGAGGAGGAGGATCCTCGAGGAGGAGCGAGGCGGAGGAAGGAGGAGGAGGGGGGAGGCGAGGAGGGAGAGGAGGAGGAGGATGGAGGAGGAGGAGGGGGAGCGAGGAGGAGGAGGAGGAGGGGTGAGGAGGAGGAGGAGGAGGCGGAGGAGGAGGAGGAGGAGGAGGAGGAGGCGGGAGGAGGAGGAGGAGGGAGGAGGGAGGAGGAGGAGAGGAGGGAGAGGAGGAGGAGGAGGAGGGCCCCTGGGGTCGGCACGGAGCTCCTCGGAGGGGCCCCCCGGGGCCCTCCTGGAGGCCCCGGGGGGGTCACAGCCCAGGAGGCCAACGCCATTGTGAAGCACTGACAGTTCTGCTCTGGGCTTCGCATCTACGACGCACGACTACCAACACGACTAACAACACTACTAACAACACCTACGTACGACTACCAACACGACTAACAACACTACTGTTTTGGGTTTTGGCGAATCGAGGGTCTGTAGCACGTGGCCTGCTTCATAAGGCTGGTCCTCACGGTCAAGAGGCCCCCGAGGACCCGCCCAGGAGGGTTTCCGAGGCCCGCAGGTACAGTTCTCGGGCCGAACGAAAGTGGGGGATCGGGAAAGCGGGGGGTACGAAATCTGCTGCATGCAGCTGGTTTTGGCCCCGCCGCCGGGCCCACTCTTCGATGCATGGGCGCCTCCCGGCGCCTGGAGGCGCCGGGAAAATCAGCTACGTGAGCTGATTCTCCCCCCCCCCCCTTTGCTATCCCCCCTTTCGCCCGGCCCGAAGTTCTTCCCCTGCCCGTCCTCTCCATCCCTGTTCTCAGCTCCTGATCATCCTCCTCCTAATCTCCCTCCCCGGGGGCCCAGGAGGCCCACAGGATACGCCCAGAAGAGCCAGGGGGGGAGACCGAACTGCCATTGGGGACCCCGGGCCCCTAAAAATCCACACGAGACAGCGAACACGCTCAAAAGAACCCCCCAATGAGTCCCCGAGAGCTTCCAGGAGGGCCCCAGATGCCCCCACCACCCCCGGCAAAATTGCAGCTGCATTGCTGCACTGACGCTTGGGCCGTAGGAGCTACAGCATCGCTGGCTGGACCAGTCGATGCTTTCGAGCTAGATTATCTACTCTTCAGCGCCTTTCTACGCCCTTGCACCACTGCCTCAGCCTTTCTCGGGGGAGTCGAGTCGGGGCGAGTCACATGGCGCAGATTTTCGTCAGGCAGCTGTTTCTCTTGATATCTTAGCACGTAGCTTTCGGATTCAATTCAGCAGCCTGGCCCAGCGCTTGGGGCACACCGACGCAATGACCCCGCACAGTCGACGAAGGCCGCCCTTTTCCGCTTTTGTCCCCACCTCCTCCACAATTACACATTCCGCATACCACTCTTCTCTCTCCCCCTGACTCTGTGCGGCAGATCTCCGACTCTCTCCGCGTGCAGTTTTTTCTTACACGCAGTATTCCAAAAGTAGTTGGTGATTTCGCGATGTGTTTTTACCATCCATGTGTTTTCGGTGTTTCAAAATGGTGCTCCCGCTGCAGCGTGGGCCTCATGTTCGAATCTGCGCTTTGCGCCCGTCGTTCAGAATGGCGCTCTCGCTCCAGCGCGGTCACTTTTCTGGACCCGAGTTCTTTTCCATCGTTGTCGCCCCCCTCATTGTCCCTCCTCCTCCGTCCCTTGGTCCTCTTTCCACCCCGGCCTTCCACTCCAGTTCTCGCTGCTGGTGTTCGTTCTCGTCCTCCTCCCTCCTCACCCTCATTATCTTCCCGCTCACCCTCCTGCTCACCCGCCACCCCCTCCTCCCGCTATGTGCGCAGCTCCCCTTCTCCCGATTGCCCACGACACGATAAAAGGGGGTCTTGTTGGGGCGTTCCAGGTCGGCTGTGCCACGCGCTCGCGGTTGGAGAAGTAGCAGCGCAGTTGGCCGCCATTGGAGGAGGAGGAGGAGGAGGAGGAGGAGGAGGAG